AGTAGTGTGTGTGTGTGTGTGTGTGTGTGTGTGTGTGTGTGTGTGTGTGTGTGTGTGTGTGTGTGTGTGTGTGTGCAGCGGGCTCATGGATAATTGCAAAAGAAAGAAAGAAGCATGTACATCCATCTGTATCATCTGCCTATCTAGACACCCCCGCCCACCCAAACAAAGATGTTTTTATTGTATTGTTGTTGTTTTTCCGGCCGGACTCGCTCGGAGGCACACTCTCACAAGCAACAGCCTAACATGTTTGCCCCTCGCGTGCGTGTGCGTGTGATTATTATTATTATTTTTGCTCTCTGCCGTTACCCCATCTCTTGTTGGTTGTTGTTGTTGTTTTTTCCCTCTTTTCCTTTTTTTGGACTTGGCCTCCGCCTCCTTCGTCGCCTCGCGCGCCGGCGCACAAGGAGCACCTTCCCAGTGGAAAAGGAAGGGGGAGACGGAAAAAAGGGGGGAGGGGGTGGGGGAGAAAAAAGCAAAGAAAGAGGGCGCGTGGGTGGGGGTCACATGCAACGCCGTTTGGCCGTGAGGCATTGTACGCAGCGAACACCGCAGCTGTCATGCCGCCGGATGCTTTCCTTTGCTTTTCCTTTGCGGCAGAGTCAACACGGCTTCGGCTGCTACACTGCGAGGGCCACGGCGCTGTGTAGCATGAGGCGGTGGGTGGCGACGACGGGGGCGTCCACCGCGGCACCCGCCTCCATGCCGGTGGCGCCGCCGCACATGTCGTTGGAGACGCCTGTGGATACTGCAGTCGGCCCGGAGGGTGCCCTCCCTGTGACGTACACGCCAGGGTCCGGCCCAAGCGGGGCTCTTGCAGCCCCCACGACAGCCATTACAGCTCGCTGCGATGTGTTGTCGGAGTGTCTCGCCAAGGCCGATGAGTTGGCGATGCAGCTGAAGGCGCAGGATGCGCTGGGGGCAAGCGCAGAGATTCTTACGCAGGAGGGGATGGAGGAATTTGTGGATGAGCTGAAGACATCTGCGACGAGTCAAATAACGGCGCTTGTGGAGCAAATGCAAAAAACACCGCTGCTGCAGCAGGCCGGTATGCATGAGCTGCGGCGTACACTTTACTACACCACCTCGTTAAAGGAACGAGACTGGTTGGAGGAACCAAAATACATTGCAGCGATGCGTATGTTGACTGTGGAACTCTTGCGACGCGATAAGGATGGCGTGCTCTCCGCGGACGATGTGTTGTACGTCTCAACGCATATTGTCTCATCCAACTTCTACAACCGTCACTTATGGAACCGCATGGAAAAAGCCATGCTTAAATTTAGCAACTACGAAAACATTGACATGGCCTCTATCAAGGCCTTTTCAACGAAGCTTTTTAAAACCCGACGCGGCTGCGCAAAAGAGACGCTAGACATTCGTCGAAAGATTTTACTGGCCATGTCGCACCGTGTTGGGGTGCTTGCCAACGACTTTGATCTTCCTTCATTGCTGGGCATCTTGCAGTGTTACACCGTGCATGATTTAACGCCGTTTCACCTAGAACCCCTCGCGATACGTGCGACCAACCACGTCAGTGACTTCACCCCGCACGAGTGTGCGACGCTGTCACACGTGCTGCGTAAGTGGCGCAACATGCGACTAGAGGTGTGCGAACGGCTGGTGGAGCGCATCTGCACTGCCGACCAGCTCACGCATCACATGGCCAACGCCGCGATGATAAGCATTCGCAACTGCTACAACAAGGTGAGCGATGGTGGGCGCAATGCCATGAACGCCGAGCCCACGCGGCAAAAGCTGCGGGCCATGGGCGAACAAGTGGGCTGCCGCCTGGATGAGGTGGAGTACCCCGCACTGCCCGTCATCCTTCGTATTCTTGACGTCATTGTCACGCTAAAAATCTATGTCCCCAAGAAGAGTCTGCAGACAATTTTTTCGCAGGCTAACGACATGCTCGCTGTGGTGATGGAGCAGAAGGACGATTTGGTCGACCCAAAGACGGGTAAGCGCGTGCGCCCCATCACAGCCGAGGAGGGACGACAACTGCAAGCCCTGCTCTCACACTACGGCAACGACCTTGCACCGGAGCTGGCGCAGCGGCTTAGGGAGGCATTTCGAGAAGGCATGCTTCCGGATGAAGCGTCACTATAGCGGTATCACATATTTGCGGTTATCTCTCTCTATTTCCCCATTTTATTCTTTTTTACACATTACTTTTTATTTTCCCCCATCTTCTACACACAAACGCATGCCGCAGCTGTTGTTCGTTGTTCGCCTCCCTCTGCGTAACCAGGGGGAAGGAGGCGGCTGGGGCACCGCAGGGCACTCCAAGCGGATGGGAAACACGCACGCACGCGCAACATATAATATATGCGGAGCGACGTCAAAAGTCAGCAATGAAAAAAGCGCTGGTGGTGATGGAGGGTGAAGGTAAAGAAAAGGAAAGAAAAAAGTGGTGAATGCGGGATTCCAAATGCCTTTGTTTGCCGTAGTCACAGAAGAGATACACAAGGACTTGTCTTAGCGGGTGAATGTGTATTTGAGTGCGTGAAGATATGCACGGATACAACATGTCTGCCCGTGGGTGACCTCCATCTGCGACAGGTATTAATTAGCAAGCATTGACCTGCAAAGACGCAAAAAAAAAAAAAGAGGCAACACGGCGGCACCAGCAGCAGGAGGAAGAATAAGAGGGGCAAAGAGGCGGAAGGGATAAGAAAAAAAAAAAAAGGAAATATGTGGGGAGTACAGGTGAGGAGACCCGAAGCAACAGCTTGTCCTTTTACGTGCCATTGTTTGGAGGAACAGTTTCCGGTCTCCATCTGTCATTGCTGTGAGGCGCTCAAGTTTCTCACCGCTGCTGCTTCTGCACACACACACACACACTTACTTGTGGGAACTTTACTTCTTTTTTTTTTTTTGATCGCGCCCCATGTCCATATATATATATATATCCCATCTATTGCAACAAGAGGAGGTCTCCGTTCCTCTCTTCTCTCTCTTCCCCTCCCACGCAGTAGTGAATGAGGAGACGCATCAGTCACTGCGTCGCAGCGTCGAGCTGCTGGAGAAGGCTGCGGAGCGCCCTGCGGTGGACACCGCTAACGCACGCATCGTGCCAGGGCTGTGGCAGTCATAGTATTCGTGCAGCGGCCCCGTTGAGACTTCACAGTACCTCCACAGCGGCGCCGGTTTGGCAGCGCATCGTGGCGAGCATTCAGGAGGCAGTCGAGAAAGTAGATGACATGGAGTCGTGGTGGCGATTCTGTCGGCTGTGGCGCACGCACTTCCCGCAGGCAGCGCCTGACGTTCTCCCACAGGTGTTGGAGGATGAGCTCCTCCTGTGTGGCAAGCAGGATGGGGCGGATGAAGGGGAAGAGAAAAACAACGCCACGGAGCGTGTCCCGCATGACCTGCACTGTCTTCCGGTTTTTTTGCAAGCCTTGTGTGCAGCGGTGCAGCTGGGGGAGGCGCGACTGCGCATGTCTGCCTCTGTCACCGAGAGCGGCACAAACGCAGAGAATGCGTTTCTCCTTGCCGTCCTTGCGGAGCTTCGTGTGGTGGCTTTCTACCTGGCGCAGGAGCGATTGCCACACACCCTTCACGCGGCGCATGACCGCCTGGCGGAGGCTGCCCATACAAGGGCCGAAAACAGTACAAAAGACATTGTACTGAGATCCGCACCCTTTTGTTCTCGTGATGCTGAGCGTGTGTGTCAGATGGGCGTACGGCTCACACCGGAGGAGTTGCAGCAGGCTGTCGTTCTGGCTGAGACAAGTGCTGCGCTGCTGGCGCTATCTCCGCCAGTAGCGCTCTTGCCATCCCTGTACCGCCTGCTGCTCCCCGCCTTGGGGGCATGCGAACAACTGGAAAACCGCCAACTCGGCGCTCTTGCCACTGCGATCGCTCGAGGCGCGGATTTTGATGACCCCAATGGCAGCAAGGACGTTTCCGCTTGTCCTGCAACTGCGCAAACGGCAGACCCCAGCAGCGAGGCCCTGCGGCCAACCATGACGTCCTACACGGTGCTGTCACACCTGCATGCCGTTGCTTGCGCGTTGGAGGGGCGCATGCGGGAGTCCATGCAACGACGTGGGTCCGCAGGGCGGGAGCCAGACCATTTCTCCGTTCGTCAAGCTCAGCTGCGACTAGTTTCGTTAAAGCAGCGTAAGGAGTTCGAGAAGCAACGCGCGATGGAGCGTGCAAGGGTTGGCGGCGGTGCCGTCGATATGGTGCCGTTGGAGACGGTAGGGGTGGTATGCAGTGCTCTTGCCGCGCGGCGCTACGCCGACGGTCATTTCTGGAAGGCCGTAACAGATTACACGGTCGTCTCTCTCCAAGCCGCTGTGTCTTCTTCCTCGTCCTCTTCGCCCCCCTCCTCCTCCGCGCTTCACCCTGACCTCGTACAGGACGTGCGGGATATTTTGTTTGCGTTGGACCATGTCCATCATACAGCTCACTTTGACTGCGTGATGTCACTGTTGGTTAAGCTGCGCCTGCTGGAAAAGCCGATTCCGCCTCCGTCGTCGCTGCGGAATGCCATGAAGGCGGTGAAGGGACGAACTGCGGAAGCATTTGACCGGTAACGTGGTGGCGGTAAAAAATTTTTTTTTTTTTTTCTTCACCCGCGCCTGCACACGCTTTCTCGTGCTTCGTAATTTTCTTTCTGTTTCTTTCTTATTATTTTATTTGTTTGTTCTTATCGGTTTTCTCGTTTTTGGTTTGTGAACAGGGCATGGACGCTGCGCAGCTGGTGCAGCTTGAGGCAGAAGCGTGGGCGTCTGACCAGCAGCGGCAGCTGTACAGCACCCCACTGATCCCCGGGTTCCCGTGGTACACTGTGGCCGCAGCCGCTTCACACTCAGTGCGCCGTCACGTGGTGCCATATCACTACACTTTCCGTGTATTTGTGAAGGGACGCTGGATTGGGCGGTCCCTTTTGGACATCTACAGCGAAGAGCATACACACCACTCGCGCCAGTACTATGCGACGTGCATGCAGCGGGGTCTGCTTCGACGTCAGCCACGGACAAACCATAATGTGCGACGAGGTTATATGAAACGCTCATACGGGGTGGATCAGCCGAGTAAGAGTGACGGTGTTGAAGATGTTTCACAATCAATTATTTTGGAGCGGGGCGACCTCGTCCTTCACACGGTGCATCGACACGAGGTTCCTGTGTGTATGGGCACGACAGGGGTGGATCCGATAGTTCTCGCGGCAGTACGCATCACAGCGTATGGGCTGCTTCTTATCCACAAGCCAGCAGGTGTCCCCACGCACGCAAGCGGTAGGTATTTCATGAACTCCTGTACGAACATGCTGGAGTATGTCCTGGCACCCAAGCGTCTACGCGCCTGGCTCCTGCAGCGGGACCCACTGTTGCAGTCTCTAGTGTCAACAAGACACTTGACGGAGGAGGAGTGCCAGGAGCTTCTGGCGTACTACGCGGTGGAAGAAGGTGTGACCGATGCGGGGGAATGTGTCCCTATAGAACGCCTTCCGCGCCCGTGTCATCGCCTAGATAAGGTAACCTCCGGTGTGTTGCTGCTCGGGGTTTCACAAGCGGCCACGCGGCGCGTGGGGGAGGCGCTGACGCGCAAAACGAAACAGATGGAGGAAGTCTTTCTGCGGCAGCTGTTGGGGTTTGCCGCAGACGACACAAATAATACAAGGGTGGACGGTGTACGAACTATTAATGCGAAAATATTGGAGGAGTTTGATGTTGGAGTGAGGAAGCGGTACTTGGCCCGCGTCCATGGTTGCTTTCCCAATCGCGCACTGCACGTACTCTCCGCAGGTGGCGGGACACAAGGGAAGGACGCGGATGCGCAGCGTCGCAGTGCAGCAGACGATGGTATTTTTATTGCCACGATGGCAAACCACACACCCCGCCATGGGGATGGTAGTGGGGAAGACGCGGTGTGTGGCGTTGGCCCGCCAGTGCTGCTTGCATCGCCGTTGGCGCAGCTACAATTCCGTAATGGGGACACTGCGGAGGAGCCGGTAGCGCGGAATGATGAGGGGAAGCAGCAGCGGGAGCCTGTCCAACAGGCGGCTGCCACGTTCTGTCAACCGCTGCGTCAATTTGCCTCCGGCAGCGGCGAGCAAAGGGATGAGGGTGAGACATTGGTGCAATGTGTCCCCTTCTCTGGTCGCATGCACCAAATTCGTATACATCTTAGTGACTGGGGGCACCCCATCATCGGGGACGCTAGCCTCAGTGCGATGGAGCAGCAGCAAAGCAGCTTGTATGCGCCTGCGTCGCCCCACTGCGAGGGCACCGCCACACATGACGTGGAAAGCAAGGAAGGGATAAAATTATACTTTTGCATGGATGATCTACCAGCGGTTTATCGTGAGGGGTTTCATAAACATGACGCTCTCTGTTGGGAGTGTGCAGGCCGCCTTCCTGTGGCCTCGTTTGGGAACCAAAATAGTAGTACCATAGCACTGCATGCATGGCAGTATGAAATAGACCACCATTTACTGCGCACCTGCGTGCTGGACAACGCGGCTGTTGGAACGGATGAAACAGTAGAGGCGAAGGATGAAAAAGAAGTGGAACCGCAAAATTACGAACAGGGGCATGCAGAGAATGACGGGAAGGAGACGGTAGTGAACCTCTGCTGTTGCATGAGAGATGTGAGGCGGCATCAGGACGAATTTGTCCAGCGGCGAGGGAAATATGTTGTCTTTTTTGCTCCTTTACCTGCATGGTCACTTGATTAAACTCACTGTTGTGGCAACAGTTGTACTTGTAAACTAAACGGAGGGAAGGTCGAATGGGGTGAAGGTGCCCATTTGCTTCCTTCGCGTGGGCCCCCGCTACATTAACCTCACCATTGTTGTTGTTGTTGTTTTTTTACTTCCTCGTCGCACACGTGATGGTTTTTATTTGATTATTATTTTAAATACATAAATATATATGTTGATGATATTTTGTTTTGTTGTGGTTGCTGCTGCTGGCGAATACTCCTGGGGGTTGTTGGGTGGTTGCCTTCGTCTTTGCACGGTTGCTATTATTTTGGTTGTTGTTATTTTTTGTTCTTGTTTCTTGTTATTTGCAGGGAAGTCAATGTTTCTTTTAGATGCCATGCGGCACGCGGAGTGCTCTATTTGCCTCCAGACACTCAGTCTTAGTGCGGGTGGGTCACCATCCCCATCAAATGGCGGGTCACCGGCGAAGAAGTTGCCGAGTCCTCCACGTGCCTCACCAGTGCCACGGCACGCAGAGTCGCGTTTGGACGAGGGAGAGTTTCAAATCACCTTTGCACCCGGCGTGTCCCGAAGCCACACCGCCGATGATGTGATGACGTTTATTACTGCGCTCGACGCGTACCACCGCGCGGTGAAGAAAGGCAGTCGCCACAGCCGTGCCAGTAGGGATGCAGGCGGCGGGTTGTTGTCTTGTGGAGCGGAGCAGGGGATTGTAGTATTGCCGTGTGGACACCTGCTGCACTTTCTCTGCGCCATTCAGCTGCACGAGTACAGCAATAGTCCCACGTGTCCCATTTGCCGTCAGGCGCTAAAAAAAACAGAGGACTACGTCTTGTTTGTCCCCCGCCCACGTCCAACGCTCACTGAGCGGAGCATGGCCGTTGATGGCGAGGGCAACACGTGTGAGAGCAATAGAAGTGAGGAGGGTGGGGGCGACGAAGTGCAGTTTGCTGGCGAGCGGTGCGTGGCCCCGTCGGAGGCGTACCGGTCTCACATTCAACGGGAAGCGGACGAACTGAGGCGGCGACGTCGCAATTTGCGGAGCCGCGAGCATTTTCTTACGAGCAGCCGGGACCAGTTAGAGGAGCAGTGCATCTCGCTAGAGCAGTCCGCGAGTGACGCCCGACGCCGGTACGATGTGTTGACGCGGCAGGGGACTGTGGGGTTGGATCGTCTCAAGGAACTTCGCGATGTGGTGCTCAAGACGCACACCTCGATGGAGCAACTGACGTTGCAACTTGCCAGCCTGCTGCGACAGCAACGCGACGTCGATCAGCAGCTGGAGAAATACAGCCAAAGGTTGCAGCGTGGGCGATTGAACAGGCGGAGAGAGTCCACAGCAGACGGTGAAGGCGGAGGTGTCACGCGAGAAGACTACGCAGCGTCGCCGCTACAGAAAAAACGAGTGGAAAGACCCATGGCAGGGGCACTGTTTTCATATTACGTCTCTCGCGACTAAGCATGAGGCGAGCTGGGAGGAGGGAGTGTACCCCCACACAAAAGGATGCACCACACCGTTGGTGACGCATGCGTATACTTATTTATTACATATTTGGATGCGAACCATGCGGCATATGAAGCATCTGCGGAGTTGGATGTGTGTCTTTTAGTTATGCCCCACACACAGCGAGACGGAGAAGCCAAACGATGAATACTTGTTAACGTGGCGTAAGTCCATGTGCGTGTGTGTGTGCGTGTCTTGCATTAGATGGATGTGTTTGATGCAAGTGATATATATATATATATATGTATATATTTGTTCTCTGCAGCAGTTTAACTTCGCTCTTTCTGACACAAAAAAAGGGGGGGAGTAAGAAGAACACACACACACACATACATACACATACACAAAAGAATTTGATGTCGCGGACAAAGGAGGATAGACCTCCGCGTGAGGAGGAGGAAGAGGAGGAGGAGGAGGAAGAAGAAGAAGAAGAAGAAGAGGACGAAGAAGAAGAGTGGACTGAGCTCAACGACCTTGACGAGCTGCAAGATGGACCCAGCACATTTTACGTGGGTGGGTTCAGTACCCTGGAAAAACTACAGGATGCCCTAAGTATAGTGGCATACCGCGATGACATTGTCCTTGTCTATCCTGGAATGTATGAGGAAGAAGAGGTGTGCGTGGATGAATCACGACTAGACGGCTTGCGTGTGATGAGTGTGCCGGTGGCGATGGGTCCAAAGGGGGGGTATCCAAAGAAAATACGCATTCCCAAGGATGAACGCCGTCTTGGCCCCTGGTATGCGCCATTTGGAACTAACACACTATCGACAGACAGTGTCACTCCCACTGTGGCAGATTCCTCACATTTCCCCGTGTTTACAGGGAAATTGACACTGCGCAACAGTGCGCCATTTGCCCCTCGCAGTGAGCGCAAGGCAGTGCGGCCTATCCGGCACTATGATCCACGCGAAGACCAAGAATTTGACGACGAAGAGGCTCAGGAAAAGGAAGCTGAGGAAGACGAAGAAGCGGCACCAATGGGGGAAGTCAAGCTTTCGCGCCTAGAGATGCAAGGTTTGTGTTTCCTTGCTGGAGCCGTTTTTGAGTCGCTTAGTCGAGCCACTGTACGTCACTGTGTGCTGGGTCGATTTGATGTGGAGGCCAAATTGACAACAACGAACGGCAGCGATCCTCAGCCGGTTTCGTCCCCGTCGTTGGAAACCACCGTGACTGCACACCCCTTGACAGAAGTAACGGTTGAGTTTTGCGTGATCTACGGAAGCCAAAAACACGGGGTCTACGCCTTCCCCCGGTGTGCGCTGCGCATCCACAGCTGCATTATCTGCGGGCCGCAGCTTCGCGTTGTCCACAAGACGCAGGATTTTTGGTCCCGTGTTGTGCGTCACGCACAACAAAAGCCGCATGTGCGCTCTGTCCCGCGCTCAAAGAGCTTGTTGGCGGAGATACAGAAACCAGAAAAGACCCTCTGTGCCGTGGGCGTGTACCTGGACGACGCAGACGTATCTCTTCACGATGTCTTTGTGGGGCAAAGCGACGTGGGCATTTTGCTTATGAACGGCTGCCGTGGCACCTCCGTCTTTGCCTCTCGCGTGGAAAGCATCAGTACGGTCGGAATTTTGTTTGCCGGTGAGGATGGTGCGGCAAAGATTAAGTGTTCTGTGGTGAGAAAATGCGGTCGGGAGAGTCTCCTAGTGAAGGGCCCCGTGCCCTTGCTGCCACCGGATCCCTCACTTTTGAAAGCCATCGCGGCGGTGGCTCCAGACGACGGAGCGGAGGAGGAGGAAGAGGAGGAGGAGGAGGAAGAAGAAGATGAGGAGGGCGGTGCCGCGAACGCCATCCCTCGGGTGCCTGTACCCACACAACACCCCATTTTGCGCGGAAATGCCTTTGAGGGCAGAGTCCGTCTGGAGGGCGACATCAGCTGTGCGGCAATGTGTGACAATGTCATTTATGTCTCAAAGGACGAAAGTTCGTCCGAGACTCCAGCGTTTCTGGGACCGGCCACGGAGAAGCGCTTTGCACTGAAGGGGTTTCTCACCCACGTTCGCGGCACCACGCCGCGGGGGAACAACAACGATTAGAGGCCGGGTACCGACGGGGGTGTCTGTGCTGGCCGCTGTCTGTTGGAAGCGGTGCCAATGTAGTTCAGTACTTTACTTGTTTTTTTGTGTTTTTCTTCCGATTAGCTGTGGACGATGTAGATAAGCAACGGCAACATAAAACATGGCAGGACGATGGTGGGAGTGACTGACGGAGGCAAACAACATCAACGGTGAGCCCCCACGCAGCCACAATCACGATACACGAAGAAAACATGAAGGACAACAAAACAAAGAGGCGAAGGGAAAGAAAATTAAATACAAAACAAAAAAGAAGGGAGTATCTTATATGCATGTAGCCTCTTCACGCACTCACTCATGTCTTTTTCCCTCGTTGTTGTTGTTGTTTACCTTCTTCTTTTCTGCCCGATCCCTGGATTCACCAGCAGGGCGTCACAGAAGCTGGAGGAGGCCACAGTGGAAAGGGGACTAACACACACTCAGACATAGTGACAAGGACGCAGCAAAGATAATAAGAACGCAAAGAGGAACGGAAGGTCACCAATACATATATACATATAGTTTGTCATTTGGAGTGACTGTGGTTTGTGATGTGCACGCTGAATCCTTCACTGTTGCTCCTGGGATCATCCTCGGATCTTAAAAACTTTCCATCAGGCTTTTGTCAGGGTTCCAACTCCTTCAGTGCGGCGTTTCTTGCCGGTGAGGATGATGCGCGTGGGAACGGCAGTACTTTATTTGGCTGCCCTGCGGAAATGGAGATGTCTGCGAGTCTCCAGCCGAGCACCACAGAGGCTGTGGCGCGATTGATGCAGCAGCTTGTTGGTGGGGATAACAACCGCAAGTCAAAGGATTTTTTAGTGCGTGTGGCAACGCCCCCGCAGGCAGCGGAAGCTCTGCGTTTCTCATCCGCTGCAGATGCAGGGAAGCAACAAGACAAGCCAACACTGCAGCTGTCAGGAAAAGAACCCATGAAGACGGAGGCCAGGTCCGCTGTGCGACCGCGGCGAGGTATGTGGGCCGCCACCACCCCTGTAAGTCGTCAGCACTCGGCAAAAGGACCTGTTCCGACACGTGTGTCTATAACACAAAAACAGCAGCAGCAGCAACAACAACAACAACAACCCCGTAGCCTCTCACATGAAACGAGATCATCGGGGGTTAATACTGGCGGAGAACTACCAGTTACATCAAAATCTCGAACAACATCGCTGAAGCAAAGGTATTTTGCACGTGGAAGGTCAAGGAGAAGCTTTATTGAAGGCATCACATTCTGTGATGATGACACCTGGCAGCCTTCTTCAGGGGTTGGGAGGGCGACGCGAAAGAAACCGGCTACAAAGGTCGTACCCGAGCTAAAGCCGCTTCCACGTCAAATGGTGAGGCAGCTATACACGGAGGGTCCAACTTCATTTGCGGGAAGGGGGTTTGCTTCCTCACCGTCAAGTCCCTTGCCACGGAAGCTTTGCTTGGCAGGCGTCGGGTCTTCGTGGGACAGCATGGAAGGGGTGGAAACTCACGGTGGTGCCCCAAATCCACGCGCCTTGCCTCATTCTCAAAGGGATGGCTCCATCGGTGTCTCATCACGGGCGTTGAAGGTCCAGAGGATCTCCAGTCACTCCCTACATACATGGAATGAGCCACCCTCCAACGTTGTATTGCCAAATGGCACGATGCCATCGCAGGAGAAGCCGGAGGAAACTGAGGAAGTAGCATGCGATATTTGGCGTGCCGCTAGTGAGCATGTGAGGGACGACAATGAAAAGGGGGGGTGGATGCGTCCGCTGCAGGAAACAGGAAGATCTAAGCGGAGATCCGTTCATGACCCGGGTTTCACCGTAAAGAGTTACTCACGTGGGTTGGATGACGATGCTGTTGGGGATGACGACTATCATGCTTTCTTTCACTCATTACAGCGACTTCAGCCCCGTCACCATCGCCTCATTGACGTCCTCAAGGAATCCACGGCGAGAACGGCGTCTGGTACTTTGCGAGGTTTTACGAACTCCTTTGCGGCGTGTTCCGCACTTCTTAATGAGCCCCAGCATTTGCTTGACAGTGAGTTCTTAGGGTCCCCTTCTGCTGCCACCTCACTGTATTCTGGAAACACTGGACAGGTGGCGTCATTTGCCCTGGGTAGATCAGGGATTCCGCTCTTTCAAACGCCAGAGCAACGTCCCCAGTTTGTGGATATGTCGTATCCTGCCAAGGTATTGTACGCCGCCGTGCTGTATCTTCGAGCGCTTGGTGGGTTTCCGACGCTTCTTCGCGTTACCCCACTCAGTAAGGACAGCGGAGTCGTGGGCAAGGAACACTGTGTGGAACTTGTCTTTCATTCGTTGTTAGTTTCAAAGGGGCACCAGGGTAGGCGTTCCGATCCACCACAGACTACACGATTGCATTACTCACGTACGTTTAGTTCCATCGTGGCGGCACAGCAAAAATCTGGGGAGAGCAGTCAACGCACGCGTGCGGACTGGGAGGAACGCACTGTTATTGTGCGTTCTATTCTCGCGGAGAAGTCCGTTGTGCAGCGCTTTGGGAAGGCGGAAGTGGTGCATGTTCTGCCGCCGATAGAAAGTTGGACGGCATCCCCTGTGGTTGACGCGGATAACACAACTGGGGAGGAGTTCCTTGAAGCTAAAAGTGCCGCCGTTCGGCACTTTTTAAATGACGCCGAGCCAAGGCATGGGTCCACGGTTCGGTCACAGGCAGCGCACAGGGCCACGTACACGAGGGGTGTAGGGCGCGGCAGGCGGAGTAAGTACGTCGACTGCGGTGACCTTGCGGTGGCATTTCTGATCAGTGGGGGATTGTCAAAGTTGAGTGATGTGCCGCCGGAACCCATGGACCTTGAGGCATTGCGGTATAAAGTCTATGCACTCAGGCACCATGAATTAGATGATGCTACGAGGAAGGGTGTTAGAACCGCCGGGCCACAGCACGTTGCACGGCAACAACGACTCCGGTGGAGCAGCGTTGGCCTTAGCCTGGTGACAGGCGAGGGTCAAACGCCTTCCCCGCTCTCTAAGGAGAGTACAGCATCCAAGACGTCTGTAGGACCGCCTCGGACTGAGGGGGCGAAGTTGGAGTCCATGCAGCGGCAGTTTCCGACGTACATGCCTGTTACAGTCGCGGAATCTACCCTTGCTGCCACGACGGATGGCGACACCGCGGTGTGTGGAGGTGACCCACAAACAGGTGCCTACAGAGGGCCGCACTTTTCCCAGTTGCGTCTTCCCCGCCTCTACACAGACATCGTGGATGCCGTGCAGTACGCACTAGATGTACAGGATAGGTTGGAAAATGAGAGTGTTACCCGTGCAAGGTTCCTTTAGACGATATTCCGTTGACGCGAAGTGAAATGCTTGGAAGGATGCGCATATAGATAGATGAAGAGAAGAACACAAATATATATATATATATATTATACATATTTATTATTTGGAGAGAAAGAGAGAAAGGGGATAGAAAGAGATGGAGGGATGAGGAGAAGGAGGAGAGAACATGTACATACATCTACATACATATGTGTACACGTATGTGGTTCAAGTGCGGCTAGACGAAAGCAAGATGGTATTTGTTGAGAATGGCTGGATTACGTTAAAGTGACAGCTATTATTATTATTACTATTAATTAGTGGTAGTAGTAATAGTCGTACTACTTATTATTGTGGCCGGTGTAAAGATTACGACAATTATTATTTTACTGTCTGTTTTATGTGGGTGCATACGGGGGCAAGCATATAGTTGCACATACGTGTTCACAGGTCGAGGCGCATGTCAAGTGGTCTGACAGCACGACGCCTCATTCTGCAGCAGATAACTGCAGTGGCACAGCACAGCCCTTTTAGGTCTGTATTGGCGACCATGTTGGCTAACAGCACTACCACCAATTCTGGGGCTAACGCTACCGCTAATGGTCCTTTGAATAATTACGCTGGTGGCCATGGTAAGAGCTCCTGGATTTGTCGTTTTTTGGTCTGTCCTGAGAGGTGTCGTGGGACATTTACACTGATGACGGAGGAAGAAATGGAATACCTGCGGCTACGGCGCGAGGAGGACGGGGATGAGGCACGAGTGATCCTCGCCACGCGGCCAACGCGAAGCCTACTAAAAGGTCTGGGCGGAAGTGCTCTAAATGTGTTGTTGTCATTTTTTATTTCGCCTCTCTTGGCACTTTCCGTTTCTCTCGAGGCTGTTCGCTTGGGGGGGCCGCGGCCTGTCGTTCTTGTCGTTGCCCCGATTGTAGGGTTGACGTGGGGAACGGTTTTTTTCCTCATTGCCTGGTATGCCGCACTCCAGCAGCTGCTGCTCTCTGTGTTCTACCAGCTGCAGGCGCCTGTGATGCTTCTTGGCCGCCCTGGCTGTTGCTGGGACGAGCTTGCCTGCCGCTACGGGTATCCCTCCGGCGTGGTCGGGAGCGTCCATCCGTCGCTTGCGATGTACGCAACGCAGGAACGGCTACGGGAGCAGGCACAGAAACGTGAGTTCCGACGTCGGCGAAGCGCGAAACGCGATGCCACGTACGATGGCGTGAAGAGTAGGAAGAGCGGCGGGAGTGACAACGACTACTATGCCATCCTGGGCGTCGAACGCGATGCCACGGCGCGGCAAGTTAAGGAGGCGTACAACCGCCTCGTGTTGGAGCTTCACCCGGATAAAAACCCGAACAAATCCGCCGCCTCACAGTTTGACGCGGTGACCACGGCGTATCGCGTGCTTGGCAACGCTGAGAAGCGCCGCAAGTACGATATTGGCGGCACCAGTGTTGTGGAGGACATTGGAGAAAAGAAACGAGACGCCGTGCGGGCGCTCTTTGGCGGGGAGGCGTTGTACACCATTGTGGGCGATGTGAAGACAGGCAGCTTCTCCCAGCGCGTCGTGGATGGCCTTGACTGGACACCGGATGAGCTTGCCGCGTGCCGACAACGCATGCTGCAGCGCTGCCGTGACGAGCTTATCACCTCCTACCTTCAGCCGCTTCAGAACCACAGCACGAAGGCTGACAACTGCAACGATGGAGTCGGCCTTGCAGACGTCAAGAGGCGCGTGCAGGGGTTCCTCAACACTGGCCTCGCCAAGGAAGTGTTGTGCGCTGTGGGACAGGAATATATTCGTGTCGTGCAGTACAGTGAGGCAACGAATCCGTTGCAGCGACTTCAGCTTTTTCTGCATGTCATAGCCCCGCATCGAGTTCAGCGACGACTAGACAAGTGGCGTGCCTTGAGCCGCATTCGACAGCACACCTTCAAGGACTCCGCCGCTATGGTGGACCTGGCGTGGTACACGTCGGTCGAGGAACTCGAGTCCACGGCACGGTGGGTGGCAACGGCCGTTCTTCTTGACACACGCCTGCCGTTGGAGGAGCGTCAACGCCGCCGTGACGCACTGCGCTTGATTGCCGAGACATTTATCGTGTATGGGCAGGCCTACAAGGGTGCCAACAGGCAAACGATGGACACATTGATGAACTCGCTACAGGAATACAAGCAGCAGCAGCAGCGAAGGGGGGATAGTCAGTAAATTCGGAAAAGCAGAGGAGATGAAGAGCACAACAACAAAAAAAAAAGAGGGGGTGGGAGACTGTGTATGCGTAGGGAGAGAGAGCGAGAGGGTCTGATGGGACCGGCGATGCATGGAATAATTTGGGTGATGCAGTGGGAATTGCGGGCCTTAAAGGAAGCGGTTTACGTGGTGTGCCCCTCGCCTTCTCGGGATTACTATTATAATATATGTGTGCATGTTGTTTGCTTGTTGGGTTGGGTGGTTGGTGATCTTTGTGGTTGTTGGTCATCTTGAGGCGTTGCCGCTTGTGGTGGAGTCGCTTGTGTCTTGGAGGCATGCGACCGAGGCGGCGGTCACGTAGCCGGTAAATCGCGTAACGCCGAGCAGCGAAGCTCGACGGCGAGGCGGCCACGGTGCGCGCAGGGCGGGGGCATGCGGTGTATTCCCCCGCCGTCGTGTTGTTCTCCCGAGCACTCCCTCAATTCTGCCAGCTGTAGAGGCGGCGGGCTCGTTCGTTCCGTGCCCCTATAACTTCGGTGTGCAGTCGTCTCCCCTCGCATGTATGCACATGCATCGCCTTCTCATTTCACTCACTGCCCTTCTTCCTTTTTTTTCTTTGCCTCCGGGCGGGCGTTGCTCCACACACACACTGTGCGCAGAAGTCTGGTAACAGGCGTACAACACACGTCGTAGGCGAGAGAGAAGTTGGGTGGGTGCAGGGGCAAAGAGGAGCCCAGGCATCCAGGCACACACATAACTGGACCAAGAAGAGAAGAACAAGAAGAAACAAAACAAATATATACATACATACATGAGAGTTATGGAACGCACATCGAATTTGACAACCATCACCACTGAGAAGATCAAGAAAATATGCGTGCAGCTTGGTTACTATCGTAACCCTGTATGCAATGAAAAGCTCTATCTTCATCACAAGGGGTTTGATAGCATTGACGAGGATGCCTTTGACGCGTACACAGACGTCAAGGTGTTGTGGCTAGAGGGCAATGTACTCACGCGTATCCCATGCGGGAAGGACAGCATGCCGCGTCGGAAACCACAATCCCAAGCAGAGGTCAGTCTAACGAAACCGGCACCGGCCTCCTCTCTCGTGGTTGGCTGCTCCAAAAGCACGCAGCAAGAGAGTTGCAAGACCACGCACGTGGACCATTGCACTGATTGGACGACGGCGCCGCCGCCACACATCAGTGCCAGCGCAGAGGCGCAGCAAGACAATACCACCGCAGATGTCGCGGCGGGGTCTAAGTCATCTGCCGTCAGCACCACCACTACCACCGCCCCTCCGGATAACAAGGACGTGTTTCAATCACTCTACCCCACCCTTCGACAGTTGTTTCTGCACAACAATGCGTTGCGGGAGATGCCAGATCTCAGCGGCTTCCAACGACTAGACACGGTCAATCTTTCATGCAATTGCATCCGCTCCGTACAGGCGAACTGTGCAGCTTTCAGCGCGAAGGTGGCCCAATTTGAGGCGGCGCAGCAAGAAAAGTTGCAGGTACTCATGGCAAATTCAAAGAGCATGCAGAATGAACTTCGAACCCGCGAAACCCACTTGCATATGGCAGCTAGGCAATCCCAGAGTGGATGTAAGAATGCGGGGCGGGACTTCGCTCTGTCTGCGGCAACCACAGAAGAAACAACGACGACGACTGGGGTAAAAGTAAATGACGTGGAGGGGGAGAAAGAGGAGGCGAAGGTGGTAGTGGCAGGGGATGGCGGTGTCGTGCGTTTTGACATGGATATGTGGCGTAAGCGGCTCAGTGCCTACGCCGACTTTTGCCCGCATGAGCCGCTGGAGGTTGTGGAAAACGGCAAACTTTCCGACGGGGTTCCGTCGGGGTGCCGCAACCCGTGTAGCTCCATCCGCACTCTTAACCTCTCTGCCAACTACCTCACCAACGTGGACGACATTGTGCAGCTGCTCTGCTTCAAGAACCTTGCCGTGCTGGACCTCAGCAACAATCAACTGGATAACGGGGAGGCGGTGCTGCTCATAATGGAGCGGCTGCCACGGCTTCGCTCGCTGAAGTTGTCTGGCAACCCACTTGTGCGCTCGCTGCCGCGGTACCGCAAGATGGTGCTGGCGCGTTGCCCGGGGCTACTGCATCTGGATGACCGCCCCGTGTTTGCGGATGAGCGGCGGCTTGTGACAGCGTGGGTCCGTGGCGGCGACGAGGCGGAGAACAAGGAGCGGCTGCTCATGCGGGAAGAGACAGAGAAGCAGCACATCCGCCGACTCGAAGAGTTCCGGGCGATGGTCAACCGATACCGCCCCACAGACGCCGACGGCCCCGACTTCACGCGGGTGAATGACGGGGAGCGTGAACTCCCGCCACAAATCGGCTTGCAGGGTCCGCCTCAGCGCGGGCTGCATTCCCCCGCGCGCCCCAGTGACGATGATGTGACGAGCAGTGAGAGTGACGAAAACGTGGACCGCGAGGAGAACCCGAACCCTCGTCAGATGCGTGCTGCCCGACAGGTGGTGGGAAGCAACAATGTACAGAACACCATCGCGCCCGCGCCGGGGTTGGCACATATTGCAAGAGCTCCAATGAACACGCATGAGTGGCGGGAGGAGCCGAGTTGCAACAGCCGGTCTCAGGCTGGAGGGCAGCCGCAGCTTGACCTCCACCTCAGTGACGACGAGGAGGGTGACATTTACATCCCACCATCAGCATCACAGTAAGTGGTGGGGCGCCTGTCTCATACGTGGACCCTCATATTATGTACCCAAAGTAGAGTATGCTACCAGAAAACAAGCTGCGCCGTTGATGGCTTTACTTTTGTTTTGTTCTTGTTTGTTTGTTTTTGTTTATTTCTTGTTGTTATGGTTTTTAGCTCTTTTGTTCCCCAAACTGGCTCCTGTGCCTTTGTTTATTTTGGTTTCTCACTTTTTCACTGTGCGTGGGGCCTGCCGTGTCTTTTTTTCATAACTTGGGTGGGGGCGTACTTATCCTCATACTTCGATGTGACGGCGCTGGATTCACAGCTAAAGCGAAACAAAGACAGGAACGAGAACGTTTCTGTACATCTCTCTCACACGGTGTCGCGCATGCGCTGACGGCTGCTACACCCACCGCCATCCAACACGCGTAGCAAGACAACACCTTATTCACGCACACACAGCGGGGAGAGTGGAAAGAAGGAATAGATAAAGCCATGGCACTTTCAAATCACTATGTGTGTTTCTCCGGCTTCTGTGACGACGACGACGACGACGACGACGAAGACAGCAATACTGACAGCGTCTCCGCAAGGGTGACCACAGAAGCGAAGGGTGGAGAAGCTACTAAGGCCTGGTCGCTGCAAGCAATGCGGGTGCTCAGTGAATCTTTGGGCGCCGTTGTGCAGACCCACATTACGAGGCGCACTACGGTTCTCGTGGCAAGACAGGGTCTTACGCGGAAGCGGTTAGTGGCGGAGCAGCACGGCATTCCTGTGGTCTCACCACGATGGCTGGAGTCGCATGGCAGCCTCGCCTTTGTCGAGGCAAAGGTGGCGCCTCTCTTTGGCTACACGTTCTGCGCGACACAAATGACAACGGACGAGGAGAAGGCTCTCACCACCATCGTCGAACGCAACGGGGGAATTTTTGACCGCACACTCACTGAGCGCACGTCAATGCTTTTCGTTCCACCGGGGTGGATGCGGCAGTGGCAGCAGCAGCAGCGGCAGCGCATGCGTGGACGTTCCTCTACTGGGCCACACGGAGATGAACCACCGCCTATCCTGCCAGAGAAGATTTGCTTTGCGTGGGCAACGGAAATTCCAGTCGTGGAGTATCCTCGTTTTTTGTCCATGGCGGCGTTGAGTAACTGCACCGGCGGCGATGGTGTCATGGCCCGTGTAGACTTTGACACCATTGCGCGGCTCTGTGCGTTGCCGATTTCGGTCGCCGGTGGACTTGTCCCTCATACGCAGCGGGACGAACCCAGAGCAGCGCCTGCGGCCAACGAAACGGAGGAGCAGGAAGCCGTGGAGCAGCGTTATGATTGCGACCATGCGGTAAAGCGACCTCGTGACACAGATGATGCGAGTGCCATACGCGAAGACGCCGAACCACAGAGCAAGAAGATGCGGCTAGTGCAAGGGAACGAGGGGGCCAGGATGCATGCAGCGGATGCGCTGCGGGATGCCGGTCCCCACGAGGAGACGACGGGTCCTCACAGTCCGAAGCAGTCGGTGTGGGCGGAGGATGCATTGGTGGTTCCGGGCTTGGCGGGTGCGGAGAACGAGCGGTCGCTGAGTTTGTTAGCCGCTGACGCTGCCGTCCCTCTGCCCGCGCACCACACGCGTCGTCCCCCACAAGCCCCGTCATGCAAAGCGTCCGGGACGACGAAGGTGGATTCGAACGACACCCCCTTTACTCTCACCTGCCCGTTCGTGCAGGTGGCGCTGCTGGGGTGTACAGCACGTGAGTTGGTTGACTGCATACACATGGTTGTGCACTGTCGCTTCATGCGCACTCCTGTTGTCACGCCGTTTACTGACGTTGTCGTGGTGGGAAGCGAATTCGCACCTGCGGCGCCGAGAGACAGTGGCACAACTGCCGGAAAGCAGACACCACCACAGCCGCTGCTGCAGCTGGAGCAGAGGGTTCAGCTGCTGGCGCAGTTACGAGATCATTTGACGCTCAGTTACGGCATTCCCATTGAACGCATAGTGGAGGTGGAATGGCTGCGGGCGTGCTATCAGCGCATGATGCTTCAGCGCGTGCCGCCCGTCATGAACAGGTCGCACGTCTCCTTTCTTCCTGCGCCCCTGCCAGTGCGTGAGATTCCGCCCACGGCGAAGATTCACCTGCAATTCCCATCTACCGTCTCCCTCTTCGCGCTGTCACAGCCACAGGGAAAGCAGGAAAATGCGACAGCTGCTCGTTCTCCTTCGCCGCGGTTGCGGAAAAGGAAAGCCGCAGGGGCTCCGCAGCCGCAGCCCCAACTACAACGTCAGAGTACCCACAACCAACCACCACGTGAAAATGGCGTGCCGGCAGTTGTTACTACCGAGCAAAAACAACACGAGGCGGAACTTCAGCTTGCGGCCCAGCGAGTTAAAAACCTTTTAGCCCTGCTGAACAATGCAGCCGAAGATGGTGAGGGGGATACGGCGCCCCTTCTCCCCTGCCTGTTTTGCTTTGTGGAGACGGAGTTTTCTCGCATCGACATGGCTGTAGTGCGCACCCTTATCAAGCACGGCAAAGGCGCCTGGCTAAAGAAGACGAGGAGCGATTGGGTCAAAACATTAACCCGTACTTCCACCACGGCGGCGCTGGAGGAAAGTCAAGCAGGGGATAATGAGTACACAGAGCTTGTGCGGCGTCACAGCGTGCTGCGCAAGCGACTTTGTCGAATGCAAACTTATGATGCTGAGGCAGAGGAGGCGCCAATGCGAGTGTCTGTGGATGGACGCCGTAGCCGAAAGCCAGCGTCGTCGAACTTAACTAGGCACACCCCCACCTTTGCTCTGTACGTTGTGCCGCACGGAGACCAACGCCCTGCGGAGAGTCTGCTTCGAAGTGAAAGCCAACGAGTCACAGTGACGCAGCGACATCCACTGCGTTACCTGCCTGCCGTGACGCAAGACTATGTTCTGTGCTGCTTGGCCGCTGAACGTCTGCTGCATCCCGGGAGTTGTTTCCTTTTTAGTTGGCCGATGCCCACAGAGGCGGAAGGACTCGCACGGCGGCGACGCCGAAGCGAATCTGGGAAACCGCTAGCTGCGTCCCCGTGGGTCGGACCACGCCGGCACGAGAAGGCACCTCTCATTGGCGTCTCTGTCTATTTTCTCTGTGCCATGGCGGGTGAGGTGAGCGCTGCTCTAGCGGCGCTGCGCCGTGTCATGGTAAGTTGTCTCACAGCCGCCGTCAGTGAGTTGGGCGGCCACGGCACTGAGATGCTGCTGCAGGACACCGTGACACATGTGGTGGTGGTCGACGTAGCGTCTGTGTTTGAATCTACGCTTCTACCAGATATTACCATGGATAGCGCAACACCGTGGTTTAGGGCTGAGGAAAGTGAAGAGAGGGAACGGGAAGAGCTACTCTCGCGCCACTCCATATGGCCTCATGCGCTGCAGGATCAGTTACCAGAGGGTCTCGTGGAACACGTTGTGAAGGGGCGAATCTCGCTGGTGGGTCTGGAGTGGCTGCACGCCAGTGTGGCATGGGGCCTTTTTCTTGATGAGGCGGCATATACTCTGGCGGTGGCGCAGCAGCAGCAACAAAAATCAAATGAGGTGGCCTTCTCCACCATAACACCATTGATGTCCCCGCAGCGGCGTGCCGCCGCCGCCGATGCCACGCATCTCCCATTTGAAGCCATCACAAGGACCATCGCAAGTAAAGACACGACGCTATCACCGCAGCCAGGCGCGGGTTACCAGTTTGATTTCTCAACTCCCACCGCCACACCAGTTCGTCCCCGCCCGCAGAGGGACGTACTGAGCGAGTGCAACACCAGCGTGTTACGGCAGAGCTGTCCGCGGTCGACGTTGCGAACCCCTCGACGACAACGCATCAGTGTACCCCGCACAATTTCACCCGCCGTCGTGCTAGGGGGAGAAACAGTTCCTGCGGAGGACCGAAGCTCCTCCAGTAAATCCGAGACAGCGACAACGCTGCAAAACCCAGAAGTGAAGACTGTCGAAAGGCACGCGTGCACCTCCGTCCCAAAAACACGTATCCTCGGTGAGGACGATGTCGAGGACGTGGACAGCAGCAGTGAGCATGAGCAGAGTGTAAGGAAGTGCCCCGGCCAGCTCCATGGAGGAGGTAAAAACATCACGGTGGCTATGGTCATGCCGCCACAATGGGACCCTGAGGCGAGCAGCAACAGTTGCATTGGCCCACAGCCCCCACAGGCTCCGCCACTTTTGTGGGGAGTCACTGATTCAGATAATTTTTTGCCATTGCGCCGGCCAGTTTTTACTGGCGGACTTCGGATTCACATTGTTCACGATATGCCCGAAAGAAAACGGCTCATAGCATTCTGCGCAAGACTTAGTGATTCTGCATTCAGTGGTAGTGGTATTATCTGTAACGATGGTGAAAGCAACAGCAGTCAAAGTTGCATGTCCGCGACATCGGATAATTTAAGGCAGAAACATCTTCCACGTCATACAAACATGGCCGGTGTTGGCATTCGTTTGCAGTTGGTCGGGCCTTCTGTTCGAGACGCTGACGTACTTGTCACGCACCAACTGACACAGCGAGAAAGCGTCCTTGCTGCCATCGCTGCCGGTCTGTGGGTGGTGACACCGAAGGCGTTGCAGGACTGTGAGGCGCGTCAGTGCTTTCTCCCCTTACGTGACTTGTCCGTGTACGAGTGGTGCCCGGAGCTGCTGCCGCCAGGGTCGCCTCGCACCAGTGTCCAGCTCGCCCACCAGTGTCGGAGCCGCCGCCAGCAGCGACAGGCGACTGGAACCCGCCTATTTGAGGGCAAGTGGTTTATTATTGTTTCTCCATCCACTTCCGTTGGGGCAGCGCGGGCGCGCTCGATGCGAAACGTGCTGGAAACAGGCGGTGGCGTGGTGGCGTGGGCCACCTGCGACTTGGGCAACCCTGGCGAACCATCAGCAAATGCTGTGAGAACCGAATCATTGCCCTGCGACGCGGCTAAGCACCAATCTACGCGGTGCTCAGACACAACGGCGAGCGAACCTACCTCCGTGTCGTCTGCCGCAGCGCTGCTTGAAATTGTTGCGTCACAGATACGGGGCCGGGAGGAGGACTGCATCCAGGGCGAGGAGGAGAGTACGCCTGACGGCGCGGCGCAGTCCACCCCATTGCCTGTGAAGGAGCTCATTTTGCTGCTAGATGGATTTCTTCAGGACGATACAGCAAAGCAATGGGTGCAGGACATCGTAGCGGCGTTTCCTCACGCGCAGGCCTCTTTTGCTGAGGCGAAGCGACAGGCGTGTGCACGGAGGCGGCGCAGGCAGGGTGAGCAGTGCTCCCAATATCGGCCGTGGGAGCTCCCAGGAGTGGGGGGTGCGGTGAGGGGGGTGGGTGCACGGAGCAACGGGGCCACGGTGTGGCCACCGACGGGGCCGCCCTCGTCACCCCACGCTTTTTCCGGCGTTGGTGTCTCCCCCGCGGCTGGATGCGGAGAAGAGGAAGAGCAACGTTGCGTGTGGCATGCCATTTGTAGAGGATGTTCGCGTCTTTGCGTCGGACTGGGTGACGCTGACGATTCAGCAGCGGCGGAAGGCGCCCCTGTGCGTCGTGGAGCTTCCCCCTTAAACCCACGTGCCTCTTGGACTGTCCTCGTCGCTGGTGGTGCCAGCGTGTGTGGCTGCGACGGTGGCGGTGTGTGGTGATCGC